CGTGATTCATGGCTCTAAAGAGGTACGAAACTTATTGGCTGGGCAATCTCAGAGGGGGCCGTTTTGGTGGTACTGTGTCCGGCTTTAACCTACAAAGCGTCATCTTCTACTTTGCAGTATTCTTCTACTTTCTTCATCAACCCCCAGACTGTTTTGGGGGCCCTTCTGGTCAAGGAACTACGGAGGGCACTATCTGGGTGTAGTCCCATTTTGAAGGCGGTGATGGTCATGGAGTCATTGCAAGCATCATCTACAAGATTAAAGCATTCCCAATATCGTGCCGAATATGCTCTTAGCGTCTCTCCTGACAGGATTTGCATTGCCCAGAGAGAATTGGCTTGTTTCGGCTGGACCTCATTTGTGATGAATCTGGCCTTGAAAGACTTCTGTAATTGGTGGAAGGTTTTGATCGAAGCCGGCTCCAGTTTGTAATACCATCTAACAGCCAGTGGTCCTAAACTACTGGGGAATATTCGGCACATGAGGGCTTCGTCATCTACATTCAATGTCATGGCTTGCTTGTAGTGGCGAATATGAACAGTGGGATCTGACTTGCCATCATAGAGAGTAAATGACGGAGCTTTAAACTTTTTGGGCAAGGTTGCCCTTGCGATCCGTTGCACAAAAGGATCATGCTGGTCCTCGTCATCTGAGCCGTTTCTTCTACGCTTATGCCTTACGCGTGGGCTCTCTTCAGAAAAGCTGGAAGTTGTAGGTCGTCCTTTCTTTTTGGGCTCCGGAGATAATGAGTCGGAATCGCTATCAGTGTCTTGTTGCCGGGCTCGAGGTCGTCGACCACCTACTTTCAGAGGTCACTCCGGGTCTTGGCGCACGCCTTGTTTGGACTTTGCCACCTCCAGTGCCAAACCCTAACGGAGACGTTCATTCTCAGCGATCATGTTCTCCAACCGTTGCTCGTTTTGCTTTGCCTGCTCCATGATCGCCTGCATTGCTACGTGTTCTGGAGTCGAAGGTGAACCGAAGTTCAAAGCACGTCTTACTGGGTTAGGCTTCGGTCCGTGCGTGTTTGTTAGAGTGAAGTCGTCTATCTGTGTGGTGTCATCAGCGACTATTGGAGGGTCCTTCGTCGCGTCTGCCATAGATGTGCTTGAGTATTCCCACAGACGGCGCCAGTTGTGGGGAAGTGGTTTTTGGAAATACTCTTCTGATCCTGGGGGACGCTTGTGATCCACCGATAGGCACCTGAAAGGAAGTAAACACTCCAATCGGGGGTGCCGAAATTGGCACTCCGACGGACAAGTCAGTCTCTCATTCTAGATTACTTGTATTCTAAGTTAAACACCACAATTATCACATACCTTTCTCAGTCTGTTATTCCTTTATTTATACTCGTTCCCTGGTCCTCGGGGCTAGGTCCACTTTTCACTCATTATGTTCATATTTACTTGGCTCCATAGCTCAATACCTATTCGGCTCATCTACCCTTTATATTCAGCATCCTGATGGTTCTGGACAGAGCCGGGCAATACCTGTCTGTTAAAGTATGCCTCCTTTAAAATTCAGCTCCCACAACATATGTATAAAAAAATATATAAATCCAAAACCCAACGGGGCACGTAACCCGCCTGGTCTCTATGTGGCTCTAACACTGTCGATAAGAACAAACTCCTATAAAATGACCAAATTATCCATGTATATATATTTAGGTTATACAGTGGAAAAAAATCAAATCTCTCTTCTCTCTCTTCAAAAAATCAAACTCTCTCTCTCTCTCTCTTTTCATCTCCAACACCACCGCCACCATCCCAATACCACCCCCAACACCATTGGCATCGTCTCAACTGTCGCTTTCTTCTCTCTCCTCTCTCTTTCTCTTCATCTCTAACACCATAATCATCATCATTTCCCATCCCTCCAATACCACTGTGGTTGTCTCAACCGCCGACAATTCCAGATCTGAAACAGATCTGCGATCTCCGATATGCTCTCTCCAATCTGGTCTCTACCTCGATCTCTGATTTCGGATCTATTGTTGTTGTTGTTTGAGTTGGTAAGTTTTAATGAGAGATAGTAATTGGCATTGAATAAAGATGGGGTTGATGGTCAGTGTTAAAACAAGAGTCACAGTTACAATGGAAGTGGATAAGGCTTGGGTCCATTTATATATAAAAACACAAAGGCAACAGTAAAGCTTACTATTCTATATATATATATATATATATTGGTTTCATTGTTAAAACAGGAGTTTACAGTGGAGGTGGATGAGTCTTTGGTCCATTTATATATAAGAACACAAAAGCAACAGTAGAACTTACTATTCTAATTAGCCTATTTCTTCATTGCAGAATAGGAAGTTCATATATATATATATATATATATATACACATATATATACACACATTTTATTTGTTTATTTATTTTTATGTTTTTGGTGCTTTGGATTTGAAACTGTTCAATCCAGATCTAGATACATTTGATTTTTTTTTTTTTTTGTAGTTATTGATTGTTGTTGATGTTGATGAAACAGATTGTAGATAAATAGGTTCAACAGATTCATTTATGTTTGGTTTCTCACATAGAGAGAAAGTAGGTTCAACAGATTATATATAAAAGCTGAACAAATAAGCCAACAAATTCAACAGCTAAAAAAATACGATCAAAATTTGAACAGATGTTTGATTGCTTTACAAAAATTTTATAGATCAAAATTATACAAATGAAAATTTGTACAGATAAAATTTGGATAGAAAATTTGTACAGATAAAAATATTGAACAAATAAAAAATTAGATAGGTAAAATTTGGACAGATAAAATTTGGACAAATATAAAATTTGCACAAAAAATTCTGAACAGATAGAAAATTTACACACAAAAAAATGAAGAGATAGACAAAAAAAATTGAACAAATAGACAAAAAAAACTTGAACAGATAGATAAATTTTAACAGATAGACAAAAATTGAACGGATAGATAAATTTTAACATATAGACAAAAAAATTTGAGCAGATAGATATAAATTTGAACAGATGGTCAACAAAAAGTCAAACAAATAAAAAAAAGTCAATGGGTAAAATTGGAAACAAAATGTCTTCTAGAATTTCTCACGAAATTATTTCACAAAGTGTGGACCTCTTATCAAAAAAAAAATTCACTAGACTTAATGCCTTAGACAATTACTAGAGTGGATTTTTCATCAATCTTCCATAATTTATAACACGAAATAAATTCAATCGATAATTTAGAGACTGAGTAAACTCAATCGATAGTTCAAAAATTAAGTAGACAACTTGGTGGTAGTTTAGAGGTAGAAAATGTAATAAACCCTTTGGTTTATTTTAATTTTGTCTCTACAACTAATGTCCTTTTTTTCTATTTCACACTTTTTTATTTAATTCATAAATAATATTACAATGAAACCCAATCATTTACAATTATAATGATGAAAATCAACTATAACATACATATATATAATTTATTGTGAGATATCTTATATTTATTGTACATTCAGAATACTGTAAAGAGTCTTTTACGAAGGCTATTCGCCTCGAGTCCAGATCCTCTCCAGCCAAAACTCCCTCCTGTCCTCCGGTCAAGGGCCACGATTTGGCCACGTGGCCCTTTCAAGATCTACGGCTCAGAAAAAAAAAACAAACAAACAAATTTGAATTCGTTAATTTCGACCCAGCACAAAGTTCCCTCCCATTCCGGAGTCCATTTTCCCTCCTCTTCGAAGCTCTTTTTCCCTCCTTTTTCCAAGCTCTGGCGATTGGCGAAGTCGACGGCAAACATCAAGGACGATCGACGGTGAACATCGACGGTGAACCAAGCTCCGACGACCCCGCGAACCAGAGCTCCACTTCGTCATCAACTGAAGGTAATGTTTGTCATCGTTGGGGAACATTGTTATTAAGGAACATTAAGGAAAATTAAGTAATGTTTCTAACTAGGGACTTCCTGTGGAGTAAAAAAGGAAAATTAAGGAACATTGTTCTGTTGTTGTCATTGTTTGTCTACAATGTTTTATTGTCATTTTTTTATTGTTCTCAACCATGGTACCATGAATGAAGCTAGAACATTGAGGTTTAGTTTTTCGGTATTCAATATCTTTCCTTCTTCTCATTTGTATTTTTTCCTAGTTCATAAATCTTCAGCACAATGTGCAACTAGTAATAGAACTGTGTCTGTATTTATTTTTCATTTGATGGTTAAACCAGAGATAAGTCCTTATTTATTTTTGGGCATTTGCCTAAATTTGTTTAAAAACTGATTAGGTTTTGATAATAATCAGTAGGAACAACACAAAGGGAAAAAGAAAAAAAACTGAGGCTCTAGTGTTGTTCATTTGCTTGAATTTGTTTAAAAACTGATTACGTTTTGATAATAATCAGTGGAAACAATACAATGGGAAAAAATAGTGTTGATACTATCGGCTACGAAACAGATTTTTGAACAAACAGATTGTTTGTTCAAAATTGTTTTGAACAAACAATACAATGGGAACAAATAGATTTTTTGTTCAAAATCTATTATTTTGAACAAACAGTGTTGATACAATGGGATTTTGAATAATACAATGGGAAAAAACAGATTTTCAACACTGTTTCTAGTGTTGGGTATTTGCTTGAATTTGTTTAATGCAACCATGATTCATCTAAAACTAGTTAGGCTTTGATAATAATTAATGGGAACAATACAAAGGGAACTATTTGCTGTCATTGTTCTCTTGTGAGTGGAACATGTCACAAGGCTTCCACTATCTACTTCATTAACCTCAATAACCAAGAGAATGACTTATGTTTTCTATTCCATCTACCTAAGTTTTTAACTCCTGAAACAACAGATTAATACAAGGAAGATATAAAAATCACCTAAACCATTGACATATTGTTGTGTATAAGTTCATTCAAGACCTGCACTTCTTTGTAATTGCAGGTAATGAAGAACAATAAAAAAATGATTGTGGTTGAATGAAGCTATAAGTTCATTTAAGTAATGTTTCTAATTATTGTTCTCCCATTTGATTGCCTCTACTTTTCAGTTGTGTTTTTATATGGATATGGAACCTGACAATGATTGTGGTTGGAAGCCAAAAGTAGGAATGACCTTTGATTCGGAAGAAAGTGCGTACGATTTTTATAATGCATATGGAAGAAGAATGGGATTTAGCATAAGAAGGGAATATTGTAAGAAGAACAAGTTAACAAAACAAATTATTTCTAGAAATTTGGTTTGCAACAAAGAGGGATTTCGGAAGGTTAACAAGCGAGACCCATTGACAAAAACCCCTAGAGCTGAAACTAGGACTGGTTGTGAGGCCCGACTTTTTGTTAAATTGGATGTCAATAGTGGGAAATTTGTTGTGATTGATTTCAAAGAAAAACACAACCATGAACATGTATCTCTTGATTGTGCCCATATGTTGTCATCGCAAAGAAAGATATCAGATACCCAAGCAATTGAGTTAGACTTAGCCTCAGAGTCTGGTCTTTGTTTAGGGCAGTCTTTTGAACTGATGGGTAGGGAAGCTGGAGGGAAGTCTCTTGGTTTTATGAAATTAGATGAAAAAAATTACTTGAGACCCAAAAGACAAAAAAGTTTAGCATATGGGGAAGTAGGTAATGTGTTACAATACTTTCAACAAAAATCTTTGGAGAATCCATCTTTTTTTTATGCTTTCCAATTAGACAATGAAGAGCAAATAACGAATATGTTTTGGGCCGATGCACAAATGGTCATGGATTATGCCCAATTTGGCGATGTAGTTACATTTGATACTACCTACAAGTTAAATAAAGAGCATAGGCCATTTGCATCTTTTGTGGGATGTAATCACCATAGAGAAACAGTTGTTTTTGGTGCTGCGTTGTTATATGATAAGACTGCCGAAACATTTGTATGGTTATTTCAAACTTTTTTAGAGGCTATGTCAAAAAAGGCACCAAAAACTTTGTTTACCGATGAAGATGCTGCAATGGCTAAGGCCATACCCATTGTCATGCCTGACACGAGTCACCGTTTGTGCACTTGGCACTTGATGCAAAATGCATTAAGGCATGGTAATTGTCTCTTTCAAGATAAGGGGGTGAAAGGTGTATTAAATAGATTCATGTTTGATATTGAGGATGAAAATGAATGGGAAATGAAGTGGGGGAAATGCTTGATACATATGATGCTCATGACAATCATTGGTTGAAGTTGATTTTTGGGGTGAAGGAAAAATGGGGCTGGCCATATGTCAGATCAACATGGGTTGCGGGAATGAGTACAACACAACTTAGTGAATCTTTTAATGCGTTTTTGAAGGATTACATTCGATCTGATTTTAATTTAAATGAATTCTTCATGCATTTTGAAAGGGTACATTGTGAGAAGCGGTACAAAGAGTTAGAAACTGGATATGCTTTATGCCAAAGGTTGCCAAGGGTGAGAGCGCCATTCATAATGTTAAGTCAAATGGATAATGTGTACACTAAAAATATTTTTGAGGAGTTTCAAGATGAGTATTTTCTTTCTGTTGAATCAGAAATACAAGCAATTGAATACATTGATGGTTGTAGCCTATACACAGTTGTTGACGCTATTGGGAAAAATGCAAGGAAAGTGACAATGGAGATGGATGGCTCTTTGGCTTGTAGTTGTTCAAAGTTTGAAAAGAAAGGGATTTTGTGCAGTCACTGTTTGAAGGTTATGAGAGAAATATTGAAGTTGAAAGAGATTCCTTCACAATACATTATGAAGAGGTGGACCAAACAAGCAAGAGAAGAAGCTGTGATGGACAAGTTAGGGAATGAGATTCAAATAGACGTCAAATTCAAACAAGCCTCACGGTATAAGACATTGATGACCGCATTTAGATCAATAGCATGTAGAGCTGCTGAAACTGAGGAAAGTTATGATTTTTGTTGTTCACAAGTAGCTGCATTAGGTGCAGATGTTAAAAGCAAGATAAGTGCACATTTTTGTCCTGAGAAAGAAGTAAGCATTAATGATCAACCTCAAACCTGTGAGCAAGAAGACAACAATCATGTTGTGAAAATTCCAATAGGATTGAAGAAAAAGCATCCAACTAGTAAGGGCAAAAGAAGGATAAAAGGTCCATGTGAGCTGGCATTGCAAGCAAGCTTTAAAAAGAAGTCACGTGCACAATTTTTGAGTTCTTCAAGACCTGTTGCTGCTCCAACAGTGAGACCTTCTCCATTATCTATTGGAGGAGACGTAAGTATTTATGAAAATGTTACTCCTCTTCATCCTCCTCTTGCTCCCCCTCCTCCTCCTCATTCCGTTGCCATGGGTGGTACAATTCCTCTTCCATTAATATATCCCACATATAATGTGAGTCAGATTTGTAGCCAAGTAATTTGTGTTTTGTCAATTAATTTTTCATTTGCATCTTGTTATGAATCGTAATATAATATGAATGAATTGTAGGCAAACAATTTGGCATATTGTGGACAACCAACATTTATGACACTACTTCAAGGTGGGTATGCCATTGGGTTTGAAGATTCTCAAGGCTCACAGACAGGTTCTCGGCCAACCAATAATTTGATGTTGTATACTGAGGTACTTTTGCTGCTGATTTGGTACTTTTGTTGCTGATTTTGTGCTGCTAAAATGCTGTTTTTGGTGCTGATTTTGTGCTGTTGTAATGCTGGTTTTGGTGCTGATTTTGTCCTGCTCAAGTATAGTTTTGGTGCTGTTTTTTTTTTCAGGGTTTGGATGGCCATGAAGAGGTGGAAGGCACTTCAAATTTCATGCATAGGAGATGCCTCTGAGCTGCTGTATTTAACATTGATGTTGATGTTGAAGTTGAAGTATTTAATTGTGAAACTTGTTGAATGGTGAAACTTGATGTTGATGTTGATGGTCAAACTTGTTGAATGGTGAAACTTGATGTTGATGTTGATGGTCAAACTTGTTGAATGGTGAAACTTGTTGAAACTTGTTAACTATTTAATGTTAATGTTAATGTTGATGTTCAATGGTGAAACTTGTTGAGCTGCTGTATTTTGATTGTGAAACTTGTTGAAACTTGTTAAGTATTTAATGTTGATGTTCATGTTGATATTGAATGGTGAATGGTGAAACTTGTTGAAGTATATGGGATATGTTAATGGAGTTTATTTTGTTTTGCATAATTTATTTTATGTTTTTTTGGATTATTTACTTTTTGGTTGTTTTCATAATTTGGTTTATTTAAGTCAATGTACCATCTCTCTTAATGGTGCTTAGTAGGATATGTAAACACATTGTTTCATAATTTTAAACATTTGCATTGTTCAATTTATGTTCACTTGCACTGAGCTCTAGCTTTCTTCAAAATCTTTTGTTCAAAATCTGTTCACAAATCTATGTTTCAAAATCTTTGTTCAAAATCTGTGCTGAAAATCTGTCTTCAGAAACTATCTTAAAAAACCTGTGTCAAAAAATATGTCTACAAAAACCTGTGTTCAAAATATCTATTCAGAAATTTGTCTTTCAAAATCTGTGTTCAAAAACTGTGCTGAAAATTTGTCTTTGGAAGCTGTCTTCAAAAACTTGTGTCAAAAATTCTGTCTTCAAAAACCTGTGTTCAAAATATTTGTTTACAAATCTGTCATGAAAATCTATCTTACATTACAAGTCATTACAAAATCTATCATACTCATACTCATACATTACAAAAACTGTGCTGAAAATCTATCATACTCATACATTACAAAATACATTACAACTCAATGTGCTGAAAATTTGTCTTTGGAAACTGTCTTCAAAAACTTGTGTCAAAAATTCTGTCTTCAAAAATCTGTGTTCAAAATATTTGTTTACAAATCTGTCATGAAAATCTATCTTACATTACAAGTCATTACAAAATCTATCATACTCATACTCATACATTACAAAAACTATGCTGAAAATCTATCATACTCATACATTACAAAATACATTACAAGTCATACTCATACATTACAAGTCCACCATACATTGCATACACATTCAACGTACATTACAAGTCATACTACATTACATACACATTCAACCTACAATACAAGTCATACTGACACTACCTTACATTACACACACTATTTCAAATACACTAAAATCACAACTACTACCAACAACAAAACAAAAAAAACAAAGGCGTAATTCAATTTTGCACCAACTCTTTCAACCACCATTGCCAAGTCTCTATATTGTTTCCTACTCTTTGTAGTCATGTCTTTGAACTCCCCATTCACGATAATTACTTCTCTAAGAGTAGACAAGACTTCCATGCGTTCTTCATCGATATCATTCTCGACCACCTTCAAATTATGCTGCATATGTGGAGGGATCCACCACTGAAAGAAGTTACAACCATTCGGATAATTGGGGCATACAAAATAAAGGCAATTTGGATTATCCGTTGACTGAGAAATCTTCACCATAACTTTTTTGCCACATCGACAATTGCAGTTTTCGAATCTAACTTCATACATGTTGTCCATACTTGCATTTGTGCTTGACATTGACATTGACCTACAAAAATTTATCAAATAGGACAAAAATTATCAAATAGCCTGATTGCCTTTATTCCAACAAGAAAAACCACAATATAGCATGAACTGGAAATGAGTCCCAAGACATTTAACTTGTATTTGATAATATAGGAAAACAAGTCAATTCAGTGTAACTCCCACTATATTGTGTTTTTGCACACATTTTTTGAACACACTGATTTTATAATCTCCACCCTAAAGAACTTTCTTTTACTCCTCTTGAGGAGCTATATTCAATAAATTAATGTGTATCTCATTCATATCAGATTAAGCATCACTTCAATAATAAATGAGCACACTGCTAACTATCAAAACACTTACCCAAGCTATGAATTCCACAGTAGTCCAAACATCCTCCTATATAAATTTTGTAGATGAAATTTTCTTGAGTAACAATCATTCGCAACACCAGAGATAACTACTTCCAGGATAACTTACTTTAGCAAAGACTGCAGGTAACAAAAATTTATGTATGGTGTAGTGCATGCATACTAACATGCATATGTTATACAAAGACAAAAATCTATATATATAGCTATGCCAATAAAATGCAGATATGTTAATATCTAACAAATATATATCAACAGATTCTAAATCACTCTAAAATGATTAATATATTCATATAACTATCATTTATAATTAATATAAATGGAAACATCAAATCAATTAAAAATAACCAGAAAATGATACCAAACTAAATTTGTCTAAGACATTGTTAGTCACTTCAGTGTGTGATAATCTAACATTCTCTGAACAACATAACTCAATTGATATATTTGGGCCTCTTGCTGCTGTCAATGTTGCCAAAGCTGTCATTCAATTTGTCAAAAATTACCATGAAATGCCTACCCAATTCTAAGAAATACATATATGGATTTGCTAAATATTTGGAATTGTTGTGTTTCAAGTTTATTTAGAAGAATAACAAAGTCAAAAGTAGGTGAACGAATGCTGCCAAAACTGTCATTCAATTTGTCAAAACATTACCATGAAGCCTTCCCAATTCTAAGAAAAACATATATGGATTTTTTATATATTGGAATTTTCCTTTTAGAACCAAATAAACTAGCAACAGATTGGTATCTTAAGTTGCTGAGAATTGTGCATTGATTCTATTCCCCAACAGCTTGATCAGTCTCTTGAACAGTCCATCAGGTTTGTGAAACTAGCTGCAAATGTGTGTGCATATATTTTTGCTAGATAAGAATACATATTTTGGCTCTAAACAGCCTAGACAGGAAAGCAAACAAAGACCTTTTGAAACTACAGACTATAAAAAGCCTTCTTCCCATCAACTCTATTCCCCAATATTTTCACCCCACTGGGCTAGTCAATCCATTTCTTTGTTTTCATTTCTCAAGTATGTAGAACTCTTGTACAACCTAATTTTTCCACATCAGAATTTCACATTCTTATATGAGTAGCCACAACCTGCTAGCAGCCTAATTTACGGCTTCAACAACATTCTTGAACTTCCTCAACATTAAGTTGTTTTAAATTTTTTTATCATGGCCATAATATGCCCTAACTTTATAGCTTTCACTCATGTTCCTTACAAGTTAGATGTGCGTCATATCTGCATGCTCCAACTTCTTACCAAAATTGATTATTTCTGAGTCTATCAAATTCATATTAATACACATTACAAAAGCTGAGAACAGAACTATGCAAATTGCAGATATTTAAAATCAATCAAAATTTAAACTACAAGTTGTGAAATAACAACTAATTCAAAAAAAAATTGCTCTTAAGCAGCAAGTTAGAGATACCAACCAATGATTGGAGAATATATAGCAAGTTAGACAAAAAAATTTTTTACCTTTAACTATGGTTCGCGGCTCCAATTGCGGCTCAAATCGCAGTCCAAATGTTCGGAGTAAGACAGAGGGAGAGAGGGACAGCCCACCAATGTTCGTCGCCGACTTCAATTCGCCATCGCAGGTCACGACATGCCGTCGCCGTTCACCGATCTGGAGAAGAAATTCAAATTTTTGTAGTGGTGTGTGGCTGTGTTGAGGGAACTTTGTGCTGGGTCGAAATTAACGAATTCAAATTTGTTTTTTTTTTTTTTTTTGAGCCGTAGATCTTGAAAGGGCCACATGGCCAAATCGTGGCCCTTGACCGGAGGACAGGAGAGAGTTTTGGCTGGAGAGGATCCGGACTCGTGTTACTAGGTCTTGCTTCAAAAAGCACGTGTAGTGCCAAGGAACATAAATTACTGGTTTTTTTTTTTTTTTTTTTGCAATTCTTATTGCATATAGTGGATTTTCGTTCTTTTTCTCCTTTGTGAATCTAGGTATCTTTGCCGAACCATGTATATATTTGGCATTTGTGTGTAATTGTTCTTATTGTTTACTGATTTATTGTGTGATTAGAACTACAATTTTACACAACATAATTAATACAAAATAACTCCCAAAGTTGAAGTTATGTAAGATTATAGGATCTATATATAAGAAATCAAAACATTAGGAATATAATTAACTATATAAATTTAGATACATACCATTTGATTCTGTCATTGTCTTGAGTTTTACTTTCTTGAAAGAAGATGATATTCACAATCGAAAAACCTTAGCACCGGCTATTCGCCTCTTTCTCCTATATCTTACACATTGTTTTTCAATAGGACTAACAACTCTTAATTTACATATATATAGATATATGTAAATCCTAATAGGATAGAAAAGAGAATCAGGCCTAAATAAATAGTTATTGAGCCCTTTCATTAAAAAACTCAAATAATCCAAACAAGTCTTGCACCTCCATACCACAAACCTATAATAAATCTACTAAGATGGACTATAGAACAAAACTTTTTGGATCACAAGATTAATTTGGACTCATACCAATCAATTTGTCTGAATCACTTCAACTCGTTTTTCACAAATCAAAATGAAACATAATCAATGACAGTTCAATTAAAAATAAATTCTTACATAAAAAGGTCCTAACATATATACCCACAAAATAAAAAGGGCAAATTACATATACACCCCTCGAGGTTTGGCTAAATTACAGATGCCCCCCTGAGGTTTGAGAAATTACGAATTCCCCCCTGAATGCTATATTTGCATAAGAAATTAGGGGGTAATTTGTTATGAAATATAAACCTCAGGGGGTAAATTGTTATGAAAATACAAACCTCAGGGGGCGGGATGTAATTTCCGAAATCTCAGGGGTATCTGTAATTTAGCCAAACCTCGAGGGGTGTATATGTAATTTGCCCAAATAAAAACCATAGGCAACTAAGGAGATTCGAATTACTGATATCCTAATAAAATCCGGAGGTATTGAGAATTTTTCCTAGCACTTGTGGAAAGAAACCTACCTTTGGAGAGGAGAGGCATCCAACTGAGTACAAAAGGCATCAACAGCTTGAGCAGAGGCCATGTCATATAGGCTTGAGGCCTCAAATAAAGGATTGAACTGGGTAGGTTCCCACTGCTGCGTATCACGTCCTTGTTCCGCCGCTTAATTTCTGCCGGAAGCTCCATTAGTGACTGCGTCACCGCCTTCACCAGTGTCGGCGGCAGGAATTTGACGGTGGTTAATGATCCTAAAACAACCAAATTCCTCACATGCCTCTTATCATTTTCTTTGACTGACCGGGAAAGTCTTCAAGATCAATTACAGGGACATTACAGAGACTCTTTCTGGCCATGTTTTCTTATTTTGGATGATGATGATGATTGGAAGTTCTGGTTATGGGTACTTTGCAACCAACAATTTTAAAAGATGCTCTGAATGAATTTTTGTGGGAAGCAAAATGTCAACACTATACTTTTGGTTTGGTTTGATTTGTTTCCGTTTACAACGAGGTGTTTGGAAAGTTGATTATTTTAGTAGGGTATTTTATTTTTTAGTTATTTTAGTAAGTTAAAATAATTATAATTGAAAAGAGAGTTGAATTTTTTTATAGTTGAATGTGATATTTGTGAGAAAAAAAATAATTATGAGTTTAATGTGACATTTTATTTTATTGATTATTTTAGTCTATTTTATCTTTTTGTGTTATTTTAGCAAAAAAAAGCCAATCCTTTTTCTTCCCAAACATTATTTGTGCCTATATTATTGTCATTTTTTTTAGGAGTAATGTTATGGTACACACTCTGCGTAAGTTATACTATTTGTGAATCTGATTGTTACAAATAATATAACTTTACACTATAGAAGTCATAATTAAAAATAATTAAAAAATTAAGTTATAACCAAATAACACATAAAATACAATAAAAAAATTTTTAATTATAACTAAAATAATATCATAATTAATATTATAATAAATTATAACTAACAACCCAATATATTATACCCAAAGATCTCAAAATTCGTGAAAAATGATACAGCCCATAAAATATGCCCTTTTTTTTTAGACATATGAACACGACAACAAAAAGTACGAGAAAAGACAACTTTTGGGAGAAAAAAAAACAATTTTAAGTGCAAAAGTCCTAAACTTATATAATTTTATTTTCAATCCTAACACAATATATTATACCCAAAGATCTCAAAATTCGTGAAAAATTGATACAGCCCATAAAATTTCCCCCCTTTTTTTAGACATATGAACACGACAACAAAAAGTATAAGAAAAGACAACTTTTGGGAGAAAAAAAAAAAAATTTAGGTGCAAAAGTCCTAAACTTATATTATTTTATTTTTTTGGGAAAAAAATAATTTTAATTTCTTTTCTTTTTTTTTTTTTTGCGTTTAGTTTTATCAAGTTAATTTATATTCATTTTTTAAAAGTTCAATTATACATGAGACATTGACAAGCGGGAGTTTAGACCAAATCCACACTAAAAAAATAAAGAAATTTTGTGTCCAAGAACGACTAGGCCGAGCTTAAAAATCTATCCTATACCTGATACTAAAGCTCCACTCCAGTCGTTCAATAAACTCATATATTAAGGCCTAGTTTGGGAAGATTGAAAAAAGACAAAAAGTCAAAAAGTCACTATCCTATTTAAGTCACATCATCTTATTTAAGTCACATCATCTCTCTAACACATCACTTCAAACCCAACCCAAACCCAACCCATATTTCATAAAAAATCAAAAAATGCACTTATTTAGTCTTCCCAAACTAGGCCTAAATAAAAAATAAATTTTATAAAATAAAAAATGAATAGCATCAAATAAAAAAAATTATAAAATAAAAAATCCATAACATTGTAGTTAAGTTGCAATAAAAATTAGTTTTGTTCATTATATTCAAAGTTCAAAGCTTGGTAAGTATATTTTCATCATAAGTGTAATTTTTTTACTCAAAACAAAAATTAAATTAAATAAATTGTATATAGAGATTTATATTTTGCATATAATTTATAAAAATATATATATTAATAATTTGGTTAAACCAGGCAGTACTTGGCTCAAGAATTATTGCCAAATGCAATTCATTTAACAAAAACAAGTTAAAAAGTATCCAGTCCAATCCTATAAACTTGAATAATACTATATGTACGAATTAATATATTAATCGATAATGTGATATAATTTTAAAAATTTTAAATATTTATAATTTATATAATAAATGAGATTAATAATAATAATATAATACTAATTGATACACTTGTATATATAATAATTGATACATATAGTACCACCGAACTTCATTATCAATCGCAAACATTTGAAAATGTGGATTGGATGGGCCACCTGGTCAATGGCCGCCCTATGAGCCCAATTATCAATCCTAAATCCTTTTTTATGTAAACAACAATGATTTATCCCACTAAAAACACCACCACTAATAGCACTAATGCATTAAAAAAGTAAAAAAAAAAAAAATTACAACTCCAAGACCAAAACATCACATCATTAATGGCGGGACCCACTGCCACCTAATTAGTGGGAGCACTAATAAGTGCTCCCAAGCATTTTTCTTTATGTAAATTAGGTGGGCCACTTGGCCAATGGGCACCCCTTTAGACTTAACTTTTTATTTGAACGTCGGCTTGAAGGCTCACACAAAGAAAGCAACTTTTCACGGGATGTGTAAAGAGCGCAATCTAGGATTAAACACAAGGGTCCGTGGGAAAGTTTCGCCTTCCCTTTTGATCCTTGGTCGAAATGAGCATCTAAAGATTAGCAAAGCCCGTATGTTTAATATCAAGCTTTATTGGCCGACCCCCTATCGTTTCCCCTGGTATTGAAGTTATCCAATGGATAATAGCCAGATCTCCTACTGATAGGCTTTCCTTCTGGACTCGTCATCCGTGGTTGGAAGATGAGTTAGGAGATACAGGTGCTAGGGTTGAGCCAGAAATTGAAAAATCTGTTCCCGGGCCCGCAGCAGAAGAGGGAACTTGAACAGAATCAGACAAGGGACTGACATTTCTTATCTAGATGCCTAAATCAGAAGCAGATAAGATAGCTGATTAGGCCGAAAAAGAGGAAGCGGGAAGACAAGCAAGGGCTGCCATTTTGGGGGGGTAGACGCTTTTGGAAAATAAAAAATGGCACGCACGAGACATCAGCCAACTGAGCTGGAAGCACACGAAGGGAAATAGGAACGGAGCTTATTCCAAATCGAGAAAAGCCAGACGTTCTTCAAGGGGAAGGACACCATGAGGAGACCTCAGGACTTTCAGGCATCGAACTCCTATTCATAATCAAAGAATAGCATAAAATGGCTTCAAACCAGAACAACATACCTATAAAGAACGGCATCCGCGCCCGAAAGCCAATTCCGACAACAGATTATGATGTCACCCTCGGGTCACTCCCTAAAGAGTGAAATCCATTCCTTTAGCATAGCAAGGCTACGTGGTCTTCTCTTCCCACAGCAGATTCTATACTAAACTAAAAAAGAAAGAAGAGAAAGAACTGGGAGTTGGCGCCTACATAAGTGGTTGCTTGCTTACCAAGCCAGAGCCATAGCAAGACCACAACACTCTTCCAGAGTTTTCTTTCAATCTTATCTAACCATTGATAAGATCTAGACCAAATACGAGATGACACGGTCGTAAGACCGAAACTCAAAGGAATTGACGGAGGCCTGCACAAGCGGTGGAGCATGTGGTTTAATTCGATACAACGCGCAAAATAGCCTATATGCGTATTCTGAAAGGGATGATTCCGCCGCCGAGGAAGATTCCATACCATAGAGAATCCACTATTGGTAGCTCAAGTAGCTCAATGAGGGTGGAAGTTTTTCCTGAGTGAGCTTCTTTCTTCAATTCAATGAGCAATGGGTGATCTCCTCGTTCTTCTGTATTCAATGAAACAGTGTAACTGGACTCTCATTCCTATTCTATTCTGGAATAAAAAAGGGTTGTCTAAACCTGAGTCCGGTAGCTAACTAAGCCAGTCTTGCCCGTTCTTCTTCCTATTTTACCCGAAGATTACCTAGAATAAATGAATAGAATCGTATGAAAGTCAGTATTGTATTATTCTTACCCTATCCCTCCACTACTGAAGGGGTTGTGGCACCGGTTTGGCTTTGTTGGCATGACTCCAGGAATTGATCTGAAATAGTAGCCTGCTGACCAAAATGCCTATGGAGCATGATTGTGCAAAGTATGTAAGGGCCTGTCAGCAGTGCCAGTTTTATGCAGATAAGAGCAAAGCACCCTCAAGGCGCAACCGGATAGCTCCTCGCTCCAATCTTCCAGCAGACGCTTAGTGGTTCTGCCCTAAAGTGCTTTCTATCTCTCGAGGACGCAAGAATAAACACATGGGAAGGAATGAAGTTCTACCTCTTGGTCGAAGGTGTTAGTATATTATATTAGTGCTTGTAATGATGTTAGTAGTGTATAGCTGTTAGTAGTGTATATTTCCTTTACTTTTACTTTACTTTATTAGTGCCACTTTCGGCTACTTTAGGCTCCCACTTTTGGCTCCTCTCCTATATAAACGAGCTCAATTGAACCTTTGTAATACAACCCTATTTACTCTCTATAAATGAGAGTGTTGTAAATCACTGACATATATCTATCAATACCCAATTTATTCTCTCTCTTTCTCTATACATTAATTCTAACATGGTATCAGAGCGAGGTTAAGAACCGGGCGGCAGCCTCGTCTTGGCCGCCCGCCGCTGCCACAAATTATTCTTCTTGATCTTGATCTTCTTGTTGCTGCTGCTGCAGTAGTTTCTAACAAATTCCATCTTGGTCACCTCCACTCCACTCTTCTTCACCACCTCGCCGGAGCAAACCCAAAATCCCTCTGCGACATTTCATCGAACACCATGTCTGCAACTTAACTCTCTTACTCTCTCTCTCCGAAAGGAAGCTGTCTCTCTCTCTCTACTCTACGCAGATCACTGATGGCAACAACTCTCTCTATCACTGATGAGACACGGAGGACACACACAAGGGCATGCATGTTTCTCCCTCTCGGCACCTCTCTCTCTCCTGTCACGCGCATAGATCTTACCGACGTCGTCGAGCACCCCGTCGGCCCACCCGACAACCAACCGGAGTTCCACTTTGTGCGTGTGACCATCTAGCTCGCGCGGCTTGCTTCGCGTTCTTCACCTGCAACGTCCCCACTGTCTTCAGCCGTGATCTAGCCAACGCCGACCACGCCACCTGTCACCACTGCTGCAAACTCTTTCTGAGATAAGAGATATATATTTTGTGTGAGCCAGCTCCAACCTTGGAAGTCAATCAAAAAAAAAAAAAAAAAAAAAAACTGGGTCATCCCCTAGTTTACTTTGCTGCTATTACTGCCTCCATTCAGAGGCTGAATTTCAGCATAAGGATTCAATGTCACCCAGTTTATCATCCTTCGAATCTGAGACGTCTTCCCTCCTGATGGGGATGGCACTGCCTC